ACTGCATTTCTTACCTCACATGGTAATAATCTCAAAGTCATAATGCAACCAAAGCACTTGTGGTTACTTAGTCAGTGATAACTGGAAGACGTATCAGGAGACTGATGTCTGAAACAGAAACAGAAGCCTTTAATGATGCTCAGTGAACAGCAATTCTGAAAAGATCCTTCCTGATAATCAAATATTTACCTACTTACATACTTAAACACATATTTACTGCATGGCCAAACAAGGTTATTACTCATTCTACATCACATCCATACATGTGTGAAGACTTCACTGAGCATAGCGCTCATACCCAGAACACTTTATCATGTCCGACTTATCTCATGTTGAAACTCAATTACCTCTTTCCCACTAAGAGAGACTAACTGACCATAAGACCCTGAGACACAGGCTGTTTGTCGTGGCTTTCTACCTTATCAGTACCTTCACAGCTATCCTGCACACAGACAGTAAACTGTTGTTTATAGTGAGAGGTATGTGAGTGTGACCTGTACACAGACATTCCCTGAATAAAAAGAAAATAATCCTTGGTGCGGAAACTGGATCCTTTTACATCATGGTTGTATTTTATCCTGTCATGAAAACCAGTGTCTTTATGCTGGTTTAGTGGTCGGTAAGTGACGGATCAGAGCAGCGGGAAAAGGAATCTATAAAAACGAATTGTATGTTTACATTGCTGGCTGTTTGATTGACATGGATAAATAACATGTCATGTACATGTTATTTATCCATGTCAATGTTACATATGATATATCAGAGTAGCTGTGTATGTACAAGTCTTAGCTCTGTGTGCAACAACATGTCTTACGATGTACTGCAATGATATGCAGCGACTTTGAATTAGTTTATTAGATCTACAGGGGTTGTTTACTTCCAATATTCTCCAGTTGCATATCCATACCAAATACAAACTAGTGCCAATTAAACTATAAATGAAGTCAGCTGTGACCATATGGTTAAGGTTCAGGAAATACTCCTGACCGAAAATATCAATTACAAGCATCAGAAATATCATAAATGCATAGTGGGGCATCGGCAAGTACATAAATCTATATGCCCTAAAGAGTACTATGTAAAGATAAAACTGCAATTTTCTCTCTATTGGAAATCACTTTTTCTTCGCTGCTCCAATACTGCTGGTGTTAGAGTGATTTTTGCTAGTGCAGTGCAGCCAGAGCAGCTAAAATGTCAGCAAATTGATAATATCTCGTGCTGGAAATTCCCAGAAGTAAGAAGGTGAACATGCACCATATGCAAGACTTTTGTTTGTAAAGTAAAACACTAGGAAAAGGCCACACAACAATGACAGCAACGATCACTTCCATACAGGGTGAGTAGCGTACAACTGTTAAAATACATTAAAGTCATTATTTTTTACATGCACTGGTATCAGATCAGTACTCGACATGGGCTAATATACACGAGTTCAGGTATCAGAATCAATATTAGTTAAGTTAAATTGACTGACTACTGATCCATCAATGTTAAAAACAAACACAAATGCACCATGCATCATTATGCTAATCTTGCATTTGCACTAAATGTTTTAACCTGCCTTGTGTAAGTGCATAGTTTTACTGTAAATACAAAATGGTTTCCTGACACTTCATTGCAGTCGTTTCACACTAACACGTTTCGCGCTGGCTCCAGGTAAATTTATATGATAGATTGCTCTCGGTTTAGATGATCCAAATTTGTGCTGATGTAGTTTCACTTGCCTGGTATTGCTGATGTTGTCTGTGGGTGAGGAGGATGTGTAACGACACACATGCACACACACCCACACTCGGCAGGGTCAAAAAGCCATCCACTACTAGGAGGCAGTTTTGCAATCCATGCATTTTATTGTGCCTGCTGCGTGTTTCCATGATTAAGGATACAGTTGTACAAAAATCCTATGAGGTTTCTCTTTCCATGTAAATGATCATATGTCAGTTTATACACATCCCACCAAATGGAACTAATACACAGTGTTAGGCAAATATAAACTGGTGAGCCAATTCGTTTTTAGAATAAAGATGTGCCAAATTGTGTAATTTCTCACTTGAATGGAAATTGTGTGGCACTTTATTTAGATTTAATGACCTTACACACACAATACAGTGGTTGTTTTACTCAATCTCATGGCAACAAGGTAATATATCCTTACAAACATCCAAAAGAGATATTTCCTGTTTTTCTATTTATTATACATACATTTATACATTTCATACTTACCAGTCTTCTACTCTCTCTCCCTGCCTCAGTGTAACTTCTCCCCTTCCTCCTCTCCTGTTGAAAGCTTGATCACTGTGAGGGAAACTGTTCCCAGCTTCTCCTTCAACTGGGTGGTTTACAACCAATAGGTCTTAAAATGGCTTCATTTCCCATCAGCACCTCCCGCCTGAGGGAGCATTTAGTGGAGCTAAAGGCCAATCAGGAGTCCAAGAGATCAGTAAAACCTTGGCCTGAAATCAATCCTCAGAGTTCATGAGCTCATGACTCTGGGGCACAAGGGGAATCAACTTCCTACTGATACATTCATTTTAACCAGGGTCCCTTCAGAAGGATCAATAACCTCCAATGAGTCGATATCCATTAAAAGGCACATGATGTGACATAAATACCTCCCTTAGTAAAATACTTTATTTCCCTTCATCTTCCAGGCAGAATCCTGTATTTTTGTCTCACTAAATCTGCCAGTCACGAGAAGTAGAAAAATTCTAGATAGATTTTAAACTGTTGAGTTGTGGGCTTCAGCTTCAATTCAGGACTATTTCCTTTACTTGGTATATTTGTTTTGTCTTTAATGGGAAAATAGGTTCAAACATGTAGCTGTGAGCTTGCAGATGTAGATAAAAAAATAAGGGAACACTGTATGTGAGACTCCTACCTGTTGCTTTAACTGTATGGTAAATAATTAATGCACCCCACAGTGGATTCAAAGCATTTGGCTTTGGGGTTCAGATCAAATTGACAGAAACTGTATCAGAAGGTACGCTCTGGCTTTAAAATGGAAATTAAATTTCATGATCAGAGGTGGAGAATTGCTCTGTAATATGCTGCAGGAAATTCCACCACCACCTCGGGCAAGCCACTAATTGACTTCAGCACACCTCTGACCAGACCTGAATCCACCATTCAACTTATTTAACATACATGTAAACACAACACGTTGTTGACATTTGGAAAATCTGCACGTCTGCTTCTCTGTGAGGGTCTACCACTGACGGGTACCCATAATACCCTTGTGTGCGTTAGTCCACAGAGGCGTAATTCTAGCATCACTGTAATTATATGTTCATCTGTGATTCAGAGCCAGTTCAATGTGATTTGATTCAGATATGATGATGATGGTGATTTAGATTTATTTTAAATGAAGACTAAACATCATGATCACTTTTGAACAACCGCATTTTTAATTGAAATCCTCTGGGTCCTCACAGTGATTGAATAATCCCATGAGAATGGATTTATGCACTGAAAATATTAAGTGTGACTGTGGAAGGACACAAACTTAGTCACAGCAACTGTCATTGTAGCCGGAGTGACTGACAGGCTCCACCACTGCTAAGCCCGATCCATGACACACTGGAAATCTCAGTAACTTGTTTTAGTGTTTACCCTGAAGAATGACCTGCAACATGACAGGACATCAACAGATCACCCTGTCTGCTACAATAATGATGGTAAGGACTAACCTTCAGGTAGGGATATGAAACATGATCCTTTTTGTACATAGTCTTGATTCATTCGCAAAACATTATCCTACTTTAATCATCTTTACTGTTTAACTCCTGCAGCGTCAAGTTGACTTGATATCATTTCAGGCCCCTTAATGACTTGCTCAGTGTCTGTGTCACAGCTCAATATAGAATCAATCATTCATGAGGAATAATTTTCTGGAACAGCATGGTGCCGCATGTTGAATTGGCTCTTGGACAAATCAAACTCAAACCGCGGCAACCAGCTGAGACCGATCAGATGAGAGTTGTCTCTCATTGGTGCATTCTGGGTCATTATTGGCGACAACCCAGACGTTGTCCTAGCCATGACCCTGTTATGATAATCTCCTCTTGACTCGCAGGCTTAAAGACAGATTTCAACTGTGACTCTGTTAATGAGACACAGCTTCATAGAGCTAAAGTGGTGCTATGCCTGGGTCATTCTATTAGTTTCTGACAGATGATGTCATCTGAATGTCAGTGCGACAAAATGCATTTCAAAATCCTGATTTATTCTTTCATTTTGAATGAATCATACCAACAAGATTTATATGTACCATAGAATGGACCAGTGACACACATTTAAAAAAAGTGGTGTACTAATATCAAGGCATTTGTTTTAACATGTGCAATTAGCTGCATCATTGTATTGCTCTGGATAATTTAACCTTTTAACAAATGAGATTGAAGAACCATTTACAACTCTATTACTGAAGTTCAAAGTACTAATAAGAGTTGGCCGAAGGATGGAATGAAAACGTGGGACAGAAGAACTTCTTGTAGATGATTTAACTGTACACTTCTATTTGGGTTGACTGAAAGGCACAAAAAATAACACTGTGCATTGAAAGTTTATCTTATTATTGAAATTCAATTTCTGATTCACATCCATTGTACATCTGAATACACCAAAGTAAGAAACAAAACAAAAACCAGCTTGGGTCAACCCTGAGGCTTTGGTCCATTTACAAATCTGATAATGCAAAAAGAAGGACGCATCACATGCAGCATGAAGCCATCAACAAATCTGCCACTGCTAAAACACACAGCACTTATAAAGCCGGCTCCTATGAGAGGAATGTTTTAAATATATTAACACTCCAAACGTCCTCTGTCACATTCTTAAGATTATGATACAGGTCAGTAAACACTGTGTGTAAGTACATGTAATAAAACATCAGAAGATTCTTGGAGTTCATAGCGTATATTCTGCATTATCATAATTATTGAATAGCAAACACATGCTAATGCTGCTGAATGGCACAAGAATAACACCATACAATGTTCCTTTCAGTTATTTATTTAATACATTTCCACATCCTCTGAACATTATGCCTCTGCAAAAATATATTCCAAAGTACAAAAAACAAAAGAAAAACAACTTCACTGAGTCTTTAACCTATTTACATATCGTAGCATCTGATTTCATGGCATCAAGAGAGAAGAAGCATCATAAACAGCATGAAGCAGTCAACAAATCTGTCATGACAGGAACACACGGCTCCTGAGCCAGCAGCTTGATCATTGTTCTCAAATCTTTCAAGAGCAATCATTCAAAATGTCCTCCATCACATTGTAATGATGATACAGGTCAGTAAACACATGTCTTGCTGTCAGGTCTAACAGGTGTCAGTGTTCTTCACGCAGATGGACGGCCATCCATTACCACAGTTATGATTGGACCATCCAACTGCAAAAGAAAACATTTGTTCATTAATATTGTGTGCTGAAATCTCAAATATTGAACTGCTCTTTGTAGTCGCTGAAAACAAGCACAGAATTGATGGCTGGTGGCTGACTTACCCCTGACATTAACGTAGAGGCACGGGTATCGGCTGGCAGTGTGCTGAGCACTCCAGAAGTTGTAGTTGAAGGGGCTCTGGTCCACCCACCTCCAGCCCTGGACACCACAACATGAAGTTTAACAACCAGCAGACTTTCATCAGACTGGTATGTTCATGTAGCCGAACTGTGAAGGTAAATCATGTGCTGCAGGCAGTTTGATGGTTAGATGTGTGGTGGATACCTGGAAATAGAATCCTCCCATCCAGGCAAGGGAGCCTCCTCCCCTACTGGTCAGCTGCTGCAGGAAACTGTACTCAAACAAATCATGGGCAGAAGCCAAGGTGGCTCCCAGACTATTGCAATAGGCCTGAAAATGACACACACACACACACACACATTATAAACTTAAAAACTGAGGTTTGACTCTTAGTAAATCTTTGAGCAAATGTTTTAAATATCTTTGAGTAAAGAATTAAAATTACCGCAGCACTGGTCCAGGATCTGCCAGCGCTCACATACAGATAGCAGCTACTCTTGTATCTGATCCAACCAGCAGGACAAKCAAAGAAGCGACCTACAGAGCAGAGAGGAGCAATGTGACGTCATTAGATTGTAGAGACAGAGTCTGTTTTCAATGTTTCTTTTAAAGACAACCAACCTTCCACTGATAAAGCCTCTCCAGCAGACAACATCTCAGGCTCTTCTGCTAAAGATGAAAAACATGATCATTATCTTTCACTAATAAACACAGAATATAATTACTCATTCATTCATTCATCTTTTTACCTTCAGGAACCAGCACTCCAGCTTCATTTTCTACCACTGAGACAGAAACAGAAATCAGGAGGTCTGTTACAGTCTCATCAGTCAAACACACAGTTGGTCGTTCAGGTCGTTTCTATGTGAGAGCAGCTTACCCTGGTTTTCCTCCTTTAGCTCCTGTGTTCCTTGAACTGGTTCAACAGCTTCAACTAAGCAGAGAACAAAAGGAAATGTTGCAAATAACAAGGTAACAATCATCAGCACCTGATTCTTAATGCTTCATCTGCTTAAAGATATTGTTCATATTATGATAATAATGTATTTTTTTTACATTGTGCAGCAAGTCATTAATTTAATTCTGATGACACATGAAGCTGCACAACTGTTTCTGAAACCGTGTGAAAAGTGAATCTGACCTGGTACTGCTGTGACAGCAAGAACACAGCTGAGCACAACAGTGAGGAAGAGGACGGCCTTCATGATGAAGATGTTGAGGACRATGAAGATTGATGAAGAGACTTAACGTCTGGAGGGAGGGAGACCAGATCAATCCAGTTAACAAGCAGGAAGKAGAATTGTCTTCTATGGAGTGAGAAGGAGAGAGCAGGAGTCTTACCTGTGTGGTAGATGTGTGTTGAGGTTCTTCAGGTATCAGCTGATGCTGCAGTGATGATGAGGAGGAGGAGGCTGCTCTGCTCTTTATATACAAACCTGAACCACAGGTAGAGCAGAGAGCTGCACTTTGATCTAAATGKGACTTTGTTTGTGTTGGTCTCTTATCTCTTGAAGACCTTGAATAAAATAATAATAATAAAACGTGAAGCCAAAAAGAGAATAGTGTTATCAATTATAATGACTAAACTGATATGACCGGAACAGTAGTAAAKTGATAAAACATTAATGTGGCTGTGACCCAGATCTGACAGCTCTCACCGAAACATGTGATTGACAAAAAGTACACAATTACTTTAGCAAGGCATTTGTACTGGGATTATACGTTACGATATTATACATTAGTGTGGTTCTAATAGTGATGATAATACTCATAATTATTTTGTAACAATAAACTTCCTTCACTATTATGTGACTGAACCAGGGTTCTAACATTTCAGGAGACGAAACCACAAAATAACAAATAACCAAAAGTAATAGAAAGTAATATCCAACAATAATACTCAATAAACAATAACATATATGTGTTAGAAAAACAACAGTATGCTAACAACCATAATAAAGCTTATTTTTAAGGTTCTTTTGAAGAGTAGATTTTTAAGAGAGGTCACATATTCTGCGGACACAGATCTTCAGCGGTGGTTTCAGAGCTGAGTGGTCCTGACTGCATTAAACAACATCTCTGCCTCTTCACTGAACTTGTCTCTCTGGATGTTTAACTGTGGATTGAAGGTCAGTGGTGTTTGGCCATTTGAACCTTTTAAAATGTAGTTTTCTCCCGTCTCACTTCTTCTGCCTCACTAGCATTTTGTATAATGACGCTCAACTCATTTCAGATACCTGCAGATGAACTCATGAATCTAATGAACCCAAGAGAGTGATGTTTGACCTGATGCGACTCAAAACATTTATACTATATTTCAACACCACAACAAACATTGGATCCTCAATGATAATAATAGTAGTTATGATAATAATACAACTTTTCAAAACACACTTACAAGGTGCTTCACAAGATGCAATTAAAAATTGAAGACAAACAATAAACACCATGGAGAGGATTGTGCAAGATGTTGTAAATAAACACTAGAGACTGGATCATGCAAAGTACAGTCGACCTTCATTGGCCACAGGAAGTTGAAGTGGGAGACAAAAACCAGCCCATGTGTGTATATACGCTGTAGTGGTCATGAAAAAAGATTAATAAAGAAAGTGAACAGTATGAATAGGTTAATATTAGAAAACAAACCCCAAAGATTCCTGTTCACTTCATTTTCTTCAGTCTTCAAAGTGTTTACAACACATTTCTTTATCATTTGTTTACTGTCGTACGTTGTTGAAACAACTCCCACAATTAAATTTTACACACCATAACAGACACACTGACCAAACTGTGAAAGTAAAACTGTTGTGGTTGTAATAACGTTAATTACCCAACAGGGCTCAACGATGACTCAGTCTTAGTTAATGTGTCAGTGTCATTAAATATAAACAACCTGATAAAATTCCAATGAAAACTGCAAAAAAACATGTGTACATGAACAAACACAGTCGACCTTTAAACCCGGAAATTCAAACATGAAACAATCTACAAATCGGATTAATTTTATCCCATAAACTCTCTCACTCTAAAACTGAAGTTCTCTCATTTCTCACAGTGATGTTAAATTATAAGTTTTGTTAAAAATACAAATGTTTGTGTAATTATTTGTAACAATCTCTCAATCTTGTTCGTAGTTTGTGTAGATGAAGAACATGGTAGGTTACAGGACTCCATATTTTCTAATGTCTTTATTCATGATTGTGTTTCTATTTTTCAGTTTCTCCTCATGTAGAAGTTTTCATGTTGTGGATTCAGGAATCTTCCTCACCGTAGAAAACTGTTTCAGTACAACATCACATACAAAATAATCAAATTCATATCCAATGACACACAACGCAATGTCTCTGCAAATCACACGGGATCAATTGAGCCCAACAGCCCTTGGTGTGGTCTGTGGTCACGTGTGATATTACAGGATGATAAGTGGATAAGAATCAAAAGCCACATGTCATAATGTCAACATGGACACACAGAGTGAATTTGAAAAAGACATTTAATTTAATGAAGGAGAAACTATTGAAGGTATTTTAGACAAGGATCATTTGGTGACAATAACCCATGGTAATGGATTCAAAGTGAGTCAGTGGACTGTCCACATGAGAGCATACTGGGGGCTCGTTCTCCGACTGGGCTCACTGGCCAATCACAAACAAGATGATCACCTCCACCAATGAGGTCATGTTTCCTCCCCTGTCTCTTGATTTGTTTGTCGGATTATCAACAGGATTACACAAAAACTTGAGAGCAGATTTCCATGAAACTGGAAGGATGAGACATGGGCCGAGAAAAAAACATCAAATGTTGGTGCTCATCTGAACAAAGGAGTGGATCCACAGATATGTTACATTCTTTAACCTTTTGCTTTCACAGGTTTCTCATAGAATAATTAATGGATCCTGATGACAACAGATTACATATTAAGGGGACTAGTATCTATGAGTGTTTGATATCTGGTGCAGCTTGATTAAATTCAATGCTATCGGCCCTTTGGCGCAGGTATTCCCTCTACTGTGTGTCGTTCTGCATGTTAACATTATAGAGTAATACAAAACTACTGTGCAACAGTAAGTACATGTAATAAAACATCAGAAGATTCTTGGAGTTCGTAGCGTATATTCTGCATTATCATAATTATTGAATAGCAAACACATGCTAATGTTGCTGAATGGCACAAGAATAACACTGTACAATGTTCCCTTCATTTATTTATTTAATACATTTCCACATCCTCTGAACATTATGCCTCTGCAAAAATATATTCCAAAGTACAAAAAACAAAAGAAAAACAACTTCACTGAGTCTTTAACCTATTTACATATCGTAGCATCTGATTTCATGGCATCAAGAGAGAAGAAGCATCATAAACAGCATGAAGCAGTCAACTAATCTGTCACGACAGAAACTCATGGCTCCTGAGCCAGCAGCTTGATCATTGTTCCTAAATCTTTCAAGAGCAAACATTCAAAATGTCCTCCATCACATTGTAATGATGATACAGGTCAGTAAACACATGTCTTGCTGTCAGGTCTAACAGGTGTCAGTGTTCTTCACGCAGATGGACGGCCATCCATTACCACAGTTATGATTGGACCATCCAACTGCAAAAGAAAACATTTGTTCATTAATATTGTGTGCTGAAATCTCAAATATTGAACTGCTCTTTGTAGTCGCTGAAAACAAGCACAGAATTGATGGCTGGTGGCTGACTTACCCCTGACATTAACGTAGAGGCACGGGTATCGGCTGGCAGTGTGCTGAGCACTCCAGAAGTTGTAGTTGAAGGGGCTCTGGTCCACCCACCTCCAGCCCTGGACACCACAACATGAAGTTTAACAACCAGCAGACTTTCATCAGACTTTTAACTGTGATGGTGAATCATCTGTTAGTGGCTGTTTAGTGTAATAACCTGGAAGTAAAGTCCTCCCATCCAGGCAAGGGTGCCTCCTCCCCTACTGGTCAGCTGCTGCAGGAAACTATAATCAAACAAATCGTGGACAGAAGCCAAGGTGGCTCCCAGACTATTGCAATTAGCCTGAAAGTGACACACACACACACACACACACACAGACACACACACACACAGACACACACAGACATACACACAGACACATGCATATGTTATGTTAAGGTAATAAATTAAGTATTTGTCATTTGAACAACAGGTAAACTCAGGTTTTTGGCTGTGAGTGTATCTTTGAGTAAAGGCTTCAAATATGTTTGAGTAAAGAATTAAAATTACCGCAGCACTGGTCCAGGATCTGCCAGCGCTCACATACAGATAGCAGCTACTCTTGTATCTGATCCAACCAGCAGGACAAKCAAAGAAGCGACCTACAGAGCAGAGAGGAGCAATGTGACGTCATTAGATTGTAGAGACAGAGTCTGTTTTCAATGTTTCTTTTAAAGACAACCAACCTTCCACTGATAAAGCCTCTCCAGCAGACAACATCTCAGGCTCTTCTGCTAAAGATCAGCTCTCACCGAAACATGTGATTGACGAAAAGTACAAAATTACTTTAGCAAGGCATTTGTACAATTATTTTGTAACAATAAACTGTATTCACTATTATGTGACTGAACCAGGATTCAAACATTTCAGGAGTCCAATGAGGCAGATGAAACCAAAAAATTACAAATAACAAAAGTTATAGAATGTAATATCTATATAAATAATACTAGATAAAGAACAATTAGAATCGGGTTTATTCCCAAGTAGGTGTATACATGCAAGGACGTTTCTGTGATGTGTTTGTGCAAGAATAAATGGAAAAAAAATTAAAATAGGAAACAAAATTTAATATTTCAAACACCAGGGAAAGAATTGTGCAATATGTTGTAAATAAATACGAGAGACTGGATCGTGCAAAGTACAGTCAGTCCTTCATTGGCCACAAGAAGTTGCAGTGGGAGACAAAAACTAGTCAATGTGTTTTTATACACTGTAGTGGTCATGAAAAAARRWTWAWWAARRAARKKRA